ACACACACACACACACACACACACACACACACACACACACACACACACACACACACACACACACACACACACACACACACACACACACACACACACACACACACACACACACACACACACACACACACACACACACACACACACACACACACACACACACACACACACACACACACACACACACACACACACACACACACACACACACACACACACACACACACACACACACACACACACACACACACACACACACACACACACACACACACACACACACACACACACACACACACACACACACACACACACACACACACACACACACACACACACACACACACACACACACACACACACACACACACACACACACACACACACACACACACACACACACACACACACACACACACACACACACACACACACACACACACACACACACACACACACACACACACACACACACACACACACACACACACACACACACACACACACACACACACACACACACACACACACACACACACACACACACACACACACACACACACACACACACACACACACACACACACACACACACACACACACACACACACACACACACACACACACACACACACACACACACACACACACACACACACACACACACACACACACACACACACACACACACACACACACACACACACACACACACACACACACACACACACACACACACACACACACACACACACACACACACACACACACACACACACACACACACACACACACACACACACACACACACACACACACACACACACACACACACACACACACACACACACACACACACACACACACACACACACACACACACACACACACACACACACACACACACACACACACACACACACACACACACACACACACACACACACACACACACACACACACACACACACACACACACACACACACACACACACACACACACACACACACACACACACACACACACACACACACACACACACACACACACACACACACACACACACACACACACACACACACACACACACACACACACACACACACACACACACACACACACACACACACACACACACACACACACACACACACACACACACACACACACACACACACACACACACACACACACACACACACACACACACACACACACACACACACACACACACACACACACACACACACACACACACACACACACACACACACACACACACACACACACACACACACACACACACACACACACACACACACACACACACACACACACACACACACACACACACACACACACACACACACACACACACACACACACACACACACACACACACACACACACACACACACACACACACACACACACACACACACACACACACACACACACACACACACACACACACACACACACACACACACACACACACACACACACACACACACACACACACACACACACACACACACACACACACACACACACACACACACACACACACACACACACACACACACACACACACACACACACACACACACACACACACACACACACACACACACACACACACACACACACACACACACACACACACACACACACACACACACACACACACACACACACACACACACACACACACACACACACACACACACACACACACACACACACACACACACACACACACACACACACACACACACACACACACACACACACACACACACACACACACACACACACACACACACACACACACACACACACACACACACACACACACACACACACACACACACACACACACACACACACACACACACACACACACACACACACACACACACACACACACACACACACACACACACACACACACACACACACACACACACACACACACACACACACACACACACACACACACACACACACACACACACACACACACACACACACACACACACACACACACAGCATCGATGTCGCGAGTAGGGTCACGCATCCCCCAACGCCCCCAGTCGCCGGCATCCCGTTACTATGGCAACGCATCATCCCGGCACTACCAACCTCCCGCAGGCCGAGCATCGCCGTCGCCATGGCAACGCGTGGCCAGTGCTGCCACCTGTGCGTCGCCATCAGGCTGCCATCCCGGCAACGTCATGGCGAGGCTCGGCGGCCGCTCCAGCTGATCCGGCGGGAGGAGGACAGCACGTGGCGCCCGCAGGAAACGTAAACAAGAGCGTAAACAAAGACGTAAACAAAAACAGAGAGGAAGGTGAGGAGGGAGAGAGAGAGGAAAAGAAAGGAAGAGAGTGAGTAATCAAGGGGGAAAAGGCCCTGTTATGTTGGACTTGATTTTTTTTTTTTTTTTTTTTTTTTTTTTTTTTTTTTTTTTTTTTTTTTTTTTTTTTTTTTTTTTTTTTTTTTTTTTTTTTTTTTTGTTGATTATTTTTGCTATTTGATGTGATGTTTTGCTGTTTACTTTTTCCCACTATTTAGTTGTCATGTTTTTCTCGTAAGGAAACAAAAATTTAAATGGAATATTGGTAATATCTTGAACTTTTCATCCGTTTTGTATTTCAAGAGATTTCTTAATGGTAGAAATGTAGCCATTTTTTCACATGATGATTATTTCTCCTTTGTCCATATTGTCTACATGTCTGATAAATCCCAACAGATGGCGCGGCAACGCAGAGCGAGGGGCCACATGCCGGCCAGTGACAGTCTACAGCAGGATCTTACCATGCTGGATGATGCCAGAGGGCTTTGTAACTCGGAGCGCTCGTCGAGGAGGGAGGGCAAGCGCCGCCACAGGTCTGGGGGCCATGGCTGGTGCCCCACGCTGCTCTACATGAGTTTCGCGGGCATTGTGATCCTGGCCGTGGCGTATTTCCTCTACATAGGCTACATGGAAACCAGGATCAACACCCCTATATCAGCTGCGAAGGTGATGACCCTAGGCTGGCATATGAGTTTATTTGTATTTCTAAGTGGAAGGCTAGTGAAGGAGTCTCAGAAAGTGTGTGAAGAGAAAAAGTGAGATGGAATGAGAGAAAGAGAGAGAATGAGAATTTAAGGAAGAGAAGAAGAAAGAGATGACTGTAAAAAATTAAAAAGCTCTTAAAAAAAAAAATTGTGTTCAAAACCCCAAAGAGGTAACGTAACCACTTTGCATCTTTGTCAAACCTAACATGATAATCATTTCTCCTTTGTCCATATTGTCTACATGTCTGATAAATCCCAACAGATGGCGCGGCAACGCAGAGCGAGGGGCCACATGCCGGCCAGTGACAGTCTACAGCAGGATCTTACCATGCTGGATGATGCCAGAGGGCTTTGTAACTCGGAGCGCTCGTCGAGGAGGGAGGGCAAGCGCCGCCACAGGTCTGGGGGCCATGGCTGGTGCCCCACGCTGCTCTACATGAGTTTCGCGGGCATTGTGATCCTGGCCGTGGCGTATTTCCTCTACATAGGCTACATGGAAACCAGAATCAACACCCCTATATCAGCTGCGAAGGTGAAGACCCTAGGCTGGCATATGAGTTTATTTGTATTTCTAAGTGGAAGGCTTGTGGAGGAGTCTCAGAAAGTGTGTGAAGAGAAAAAGTGAGATGGAATGAGAGAAAGAGAGAGAATGAGAATTTAAGGAAGAGAAGAAGAAAGAGATGACTGTAAAAAATTAAAAAGCTCTTAAAAAAAAAAATTGTGTTCAAAACCCCAAAGAGGTAACGTAACCACTTTGCATCTTTGTCAAACCTAACATGATAATCATCTGTGCTTTGACAGGTTGTGGTTAAGGCAGGCTTGGAGTCACCGGAGAGGTACTGGGGAACGTACAGGCCAGGAGTGTACTTTGGGACGAGAGCAAGGCACCCGACGTCCATTGTCACGGGCCTCATGTGGTTCGTGCCAGGACACTTCCAGAATAACATGCTGGCTGTTAGGTAGGATTATTGTTTTGGTTTATTATGAGGATAACTGTCATTTCTTTGGAATAGTCAGTATTTTTAAAAAGATAAGGTCTTATAACAATATAATATGCAGTAGTATTTAGTTCCTAACAACATTTTAAAATTTGTATAACAGCCTTTATTTTCAATATTGAGAATAAAGAAAAGAAAAATATACATTTCAGGATATTCTTTAATTATCTCACAAATTAAACACTGATAGAGTTTTTTTCTTGCAATAAAAACTTTTGAAAAAAAAAGTATCAGAGGCACATATTACAAATATATGAAACTCATACAAGCAGATCCCATTCATCACTGAAAACATTATGATTATTATTTTGAAAGTATGTATCAGACTTTATTGATAGCTACTTATTATATTTGGACTAACCCTTGATAATGTCTGTTTTATCCATCTTTTGATAAATGCATCTTTCTTGAAATCTGTAAGAAAGTGTATCAGTTGAGAGTTTGGCTCCTTCAATTCTGTTTCATTTTTATTTGCTTCTTTACTTTTTTTTCAATGGACTGGAGAAGAAGATACTGATAACATTTGATATTTCACAATCTCCAGCTAGGCCTAAATGTAATTAATGATATACTTTGTAGTCATGTTTAGATTTTTTATCGTGATAAGAAATAAAAAATCATGCATTGTATTCCTAGATTTCACAAGGTAGTGCTGACCTATTTCGCTTGCTTATAGGCATTGGTGCGACCAGGCTGATGACTTGCCTAAATACGGGTGGGAAGTGCATGATGGCAGGAATGTTGGGATTCAGAAGATCATAGACAAGAATGTTATCCTGCAGACGAGCTTCGTCAAGAGACTGGGGGGTCAGCATGGGGGTGACTGGTCAGCAAGGATCAGTGCAATGCCGAAGGTAAGGATATTTTATGCATGATGATGGATGCACTCAAGATGAATCCCTTTGTAGATAGATAGGGAAAGGTAAGTCTTGTTTTACCTT